GTGCAAATTACTGACCTCTGTCATCATTTTAGGTGGGGGAACTTGCACAATCGGTGGCTGACTAAATACTTTTTTGCCCCACTGTATATGTATACAACAATCATCAATACAACAACATTAACAAAAGAGATAATGTGCTTCATCCACATTCAAAGATGACCAAAGTATACATTTGAAAACCCATAAACAGGTTAAACATTGCATGGAACTATGTGTGTACAGAAATTATATGCACGTCCTAGGACCCCCAGTAAGGAACTACAGACATGTTTGTGCACACCATATAATAGTTATAAAATACAGAACAGAACAACATTTCCTTATTTAATCATTGTGGATTCACTGTTTGCAAATGATATACTGTAATATCCAGTAGGCATCCCCTTGGAGAAGTTTCAGTTCAAGTTTGCAGGTTCCTCTACTCAAAGTAGAGTATTTTAATACAGCAGTCTGTAGGTAGGTGATTAACTCACTTTTTGAGCCAGCTTCAAGTGGTCAATTGAGGAACTGCATGTTTCAGGCCTGAATATTAAACCTTTGGGTCTGGGGATGCAGTGTGGACCAATCAGAAGGAGGTTAAACTGTGAACTGATTTGTTATTATTATTTATTAATGTTCAAATGATTGTAAAAATAATGGCATTGCCAGTTTGTGTTTAGTTCTAAGCAAACACAGCTATGCTTTTGCAACTTGAGTGAATCTGTGTGGTGACGTGGCAAGTTGCCGTATTTACACGCAGAGCATTTCACTGATATCACAGATTTGTTGATGTCTGGCGGTAGGGTAGCGTGAACACACAAGACTGCTTTTTCAGACTTGTATTGTCTGAATCTATTATATAGCCAGAAGGCAAGGCATTTCCAGTCTAAATGAATCACCAAATACCTCCAGTAAGTAGGTGTGGTTATGAGTCACAGGGACTTGATCCTGGCTTCTGACTGCTGTCTTCTGTCTAAGTAATTGTTGACATTTGTTCAGACGTTTTCTTCGTGCTGTACATATGCAAGATTACATTTCCATTATTTCTCTGACACCCACTTCAACCTAATTTTTCTTGCACAGTGTTGCTACTTTGCATATTTACCTGTCAAGGCTCGTAGTTTGTCATCAACCCGCTACTTAGCACAGGTTTCAACAGTATAGCAAGGTGATTGTTTTTCACTCCATCCATCCATTTTCTTGGAGCCTATCCCAACTGCCACTGAGCAAAAGGCAGTGTACACCTTAGGCAGGTCACCAGATAACCATTCAGCTTCATGGTTTTAGACTTCAGGAGGAAGCCGGAGTACCCAGAGAGAACTCATGCAAACCCCAGCTGGCTGCCAGGTTTAGGCTATATATTGTTCCCAGTATTTATACCCATCACCTTTGGATCTTTGTGGTAATACCATTGGTACTGGTATTACCACAAAGATCAAATGTTTACATACATTGCATGTGTGAAATCTTCTGTTCATAATCGGTTGAGTTAGATTTCTTTTACAGGTTAAACCTGGATGCTGCACTAGCAGTGACAGAGGCATTAGAATATAATGACAATAGTGTCATTGAGCCTTTGAGTTGGGATACTGGGACAGTATCCCAAAGTGTGATACTGAGCAATCCCGGCACTTGGTTTCTTGTTGACATTTGGTGCTGTTTTCGAATGTCTTTTCCTAGATGTCTTTCAAGCCACATCAGAACACAGATTTTCCAGAGCAGCACTGCTTTCATCTTTGTCCTCTACTAAGTGGGTCAATGAGCAACAATCCTTATGTGTGCATTCCACACTTTATGCAGTTTGCACCTGTTGTCTCTGAGGTGGACCTTTAGATAAGCCCTGCTTTTGTCCCTAATGTACTTCATCCTATCACTGCGCCCCCATAGAGCTGAGAACCTTTCAGCCCTCTTCCCTTTCTTTCCTTTAGGGAGTGAAGACAACTTACCTTCTGTCTGGCTTTTCTTTCACGGGCTCTTGCGCAGCAAATCAAGCCAATTTCTCACCGGCATCAGTCCCATTCATTGAGGAAGCTGTGGGGCTGGAATATAAGGCATTTGAGGCACTCAGGGAAGGGCATGATCCTCTTCAGGTCTATCGCATGAAACATTTCCAGGGAAATATGAGTTGAATTATTTGTTCAACAGAACTTTTAACTGTCCTTCACTGATTTGAATGTGTCGACTGATCATTTATTCTGTTTTTCAGTTGTATTTGATTTTTATCTAAAGACTGCAGGGAGGTTATTAATGTCATGTCTTCTAGAGGACACAGAGCAACTATAGGTTTTTCGTATAGCTTTACACCTTCCAGGCTCTTGTGACTACTGTTAAGTTACACACGTGCCAAACAGCAATGCAGTAATAGTACCCTCTTCTTTTCCCTTGTGTGTGGTATTGAGGATAACTGTCTGTCATGCTGTTAAACCAATTCCCAGTGGCTGTCTGCATATGATGGGTTGCATCAGACCACCCAAGAGGCCTGCTGGTGGGCCTCAGAGATGAGAGTATACACCATTGGCATATTAATAGTTTGTGTGCGTGTGTGTGTATGTTGGGAGGTAACCATGAGAAAAGCCTTTTTTAAGCAGATCTGGCTCTGAACTATCCAAAGTTGGAAATGTGTTCGTAGAATCAGCATTAAACGTCGAATTGTCTCACTGGCGTCTCATATTTTGGAGGTTTAATCAGTTCTTTAAAGTGTTATACATGATGTTCAGAACCAGTGGATGTCACACTAGAGCATCGGCCTTAAAACAAAAGAACCAAAACTGAAACTGACTTGGAGCTCTTTTTGTAGCTCTTTATGCCTCAAAATCTAGACAGTGATACCTCTGCTCCTTATCTATGCCAGAAAGGCGCTTTTAGCTTTTGTTTCTTCCGTAGAGTAAACTCTGGAAAGTCGCCTCTGGAAGCTGAACACCGCAGCCTGCATTTTGCCATCTTCCTTTTACCACACAGTGTGGGAGGTCACGTTCTCATCCTCCTTATAAACACCAGGAAGGCCTACAGTTTCAAGGGAGGCACTCACATGTATTAACATGCACGTGCGGCCAGAGCTGCTACCAAGACATTAAACAGAGAAGCTCAGATTACAGCTCATGCAGATTGTACGTATGACAACATTTATTTAAGACATCTTGGAGGTAAATGTGGTTTTGTCATTTTTGGGTTTGCGCTCCTGGAATTCATTCTCACCCCCTTTAAACCTCGCCGTACTTTTATCATCTCACTACATGTGAATTATGGTTTGAGAAACAGAAAGTGAATGTGTTTGGGTCTGTTTTAAGTTGATGGATGTCTGTTGAGAGAGCAAAGCGTTATGGTAGACAGCACATGACTTATCAGTAGAGGTGTTTCTCCCTCTTTCATACACACACACACACACACACACACACACACACACACACACACACACACACACATGCATGCTTCCCTCTTCAAATAACTGTCTTGTTAGTTAAAGATATGATCTGTGTTTTTCCCCTCACCCAGAGCTGCTCGATAAAAGCCGTCTTTATGTAATCGCCTGCTCTCTGTGTGAACATGTGTGTTTATGCCCATGTGTGTAATGTGATGGTGTCAGTGGTCACACATTTTGCTGCCTGTGGAAAACAGTTTACACATCACAGAGCTCATGCGGTCCAGGCACGTCCTTTTGCTTTGTCTTCCATATGTTCTTGTATAATCGACTGCATGCAGCTTTGTCTCAGTTTGTGTGTGCATGTGTGTGTGTTTTTTGCAGACATAGATGAATGTGTGACAGGCAGTCACAGTTGTGGTCCCGAACAGGTGTGCTACAACACCAGAGGCTCCTATATGTGCCAGTGTGCTCAAGGTTACCAAAGGAATGGAGACCTTTGTGTCGGTAAGTCTTTATTATATAAAATGCTTTTTTATATGATTTTTATTAACCGATTTAAACTTGTTCTGCATGACTCTTGTGTACCCCCAGACAGAGATGAGTGTGCCACGACCCACTACTGCATGCACAGGTGTGTGAACACCCCGGGCTCATACTACTGTGAGTGCAAGACAGGTTACAAGCTGGTCAGCAACAACCACAGCTGTGTTGGTAAGCCACTGGAAATCCATGCTGTGTGTGTGTGCATCGTTTTCTCATTTGCAGAGGCATCAATATCAAGACTTTGTACTTTTGTAATGTATATAATAAAGGCTATCAAGCTGACCTTTAATAGCACTTAAAACTATAGCTACTCCTCCAGACAATCAATAATCAGTAGAGGTGGCTCGGGCATCTGACCATCTCCTGGCTGTCTCCTGGGTGATGGTTTTTGGGGATTCTGTCATGGCTACTGAACGGGCCCACGCGCAGACAGTTCTTGTCAAGGAAACAAAAGGGGATTTATTTACAACAGGGATCACCTTAGTGCAAAATATATGTACAGTGAGTTGGGAGGGGGTCCGGGGCTCCAGGGAGAGAAGGGGGGGGGGAATCTCCACACACACGCTTCCTTTTCCACTCAGTCACCGCCACCGCTCCTCCGCACACACGCACTCCTCTTCAGCCGCACTCGCTCCAACACTCCACACACTGCCCCACTTGGACAGGTCCGGTGATTCGGTCCAGAATCTACAGACAAGAAGTTCACGGTTAGTTCCACAACAGGAAAAACAGACAAAACTTCTTTGAATAAGCCGCGAGCACGAACTCAGGTAGTTCAACGTTCCAGCGGTGAGCTGCTCTGTGCCACTGCCTTAAATAGCAGCTGGGGAAATCAGCCCGATCAGCCGCAGGTGGATACCATCCACAGGGGTGCGTGGGCCAAGAGTGAGAGCCCGTAATGAGCTCCACCCAGGCAGAGAGGAGGAGGAGAGACAAAAAACTAAAACTAACAACAACAAAACCTGTAGCCAGCGTGGGCCAACCAGAGAGACACGGGGACCGTGACAATGTCGTCCTAGAAAGACGACTGAAAAGACATCTTTACATCTCACAGCTGGCTTGGGAACACCTTGGTGTGTGTGTGTGTGTCCCAGAAGAGCTACAGGAGGTGGCTAGGGAGAGGGAAATCTAGCCATCTCTGCTTAGATTGCATTGCTGCCCCCTTGACCTTGAACTGGATGAGTGGTTCTTCTAGACCGATCAATTTAATAGATGTTTAATATAAATATACGGCTAATAATGACCTAAATAAAGTTAGGTAACTAAGTAGATGTGAGTAGAAGAATGAGTTAGCTACCAAAGTCCAGTGTTCACCCTGACTGGGTTTGTCTCACTCCTCAGTTTTTTGACATGCAGACCCTTGGAGGAACTCACCTCAACCAAACAAAAGGTGCAAGCAACCTGAATCCACACTGTAAATCTCCTGAAGTCAAAGGAAGCTGTTGAGTGTGTCACAGAGATGTTTATCTCTGAAGCATATTTAGAAAACCTGTGACTGGCTGCCAGCTCCTATCTATGCAGAAACATGTGTATGTGATTTAACAAACACACATACGCAAGCTGAAACATGTGTAAGTCTGTTTCTGTTGAGTGTGTGCAACAGTGCAGACTGTATCAGTCTTTCTGCCTCTTTTGAACTGAACTGATTTAGCGATTACAAGTTTATGACAGTTCAGATCTGCTATCTTCTGGGAAATTTCCAACTCTACAAAGAAAAAAATGGTCAGATTATTAGACAGGTTATGAAAATTACTTGATTTGGTAAAAAGTGTCATGAAGTGTAGGATTGTGGACCCAAATGCAGTCAACACAGAAGGATAGTTAACAGACCAAGACAAGGTCGGGTGGGAAGAAAGCACTATTTACAAACAAAGGAAAACCAGGAGCCTGGATGCTGGAGGGTAACAACTAGAAGGTGAAGATAAGATTGTGTCTATATACTGTACTCTTTGTAAAACCCCTTCTTTTGTTTTAGATGTGAATGAATGTGATGCAGAAAGCCCCTGTCATCACCACTGCTACAACCTGATTGGCTCCTTCCTTTGCCAGTGTGACCAAGGCTACGAGCTGGCTCAAGACACGGTCTCCTGCCAAGGTGCACACACATGCACACTACGTGCATAAATGTAACCATCCACATGCAAACACGTTCCCGGTTGTTAACGCACACTGACTTGTTCTACTCATTGTCTACTTTTGTGTGTGCATGTTTTCTGCGCAGATATCGATGAGTGCGGTTTGTCCAGCTACATGTGTCAGTACCAGTGTGTTAACAATCCAGGAAGTTACTCTTGTGAGTGTCCACAAGGATATCAGCTCCAGGCAAACCGGTTGTGTCAAGGTATGGCAGTCCACCCCTTTCCTTCCTCCCATAAATCAGTTTTTTATTTACTTTTTGTGTTCATTCGTTTATTATCTATCTCATACCCCGGTCTCTGTTTTCCAACACAACAAACTTCCTCTACATAAACTCTTTGAGGATAACTGGTGGTTATTCTTCCTGTCATCATCTGTTTAACCTCTAAAGCAGACCTTAAAGCCACCAGTACTGTCATGGAAAGAATGCCGAGGTTAGGCAAGGCAAACGCACAAACTTCGTGTTGCCTTGCTAAGCCACCTCTGTGAATTTATATGCATGATGTTGGTTTCTTGAAGTGGATTTATTTGAAGGTCCGGCATGTTCTCAAAGGGAGAGCTGTTATTTTTTCCTTTCCCCCTCAGTCAGGTGCAAGCTTTATAGATGGAGCCATGAATCTAGCCTGTTGTGTCAGAGGGACGTTTTGGTGATGAATCCAGGTTGCTGTGCCAGAAATAGCCCTGCGGTTTGGGGCACACTTGATGGCTCTATTTTCATGGTACTGAACGGAAAGAGCTTTAGTTAGAGCTCTGTGGGGTTGCACAAGGGGCTTCCCTCCCTTATGGATCCGCGGGTTCCTTCTTCTGTGTCTCCACTGCCAAAACAAATGCTGCTGCAGCAAAAAACAAAAAACAAAAAACCAAACCTCTTGTACATAACCTGAACTTTGACTGTGCTTACACAGTTCTCTTTGAAAATGCTTTGAATTGTTATCCAACTATTTGACTTTTCACTTACTTTTCTCTCTGTCTCTCTTCCAATCATCACCAGACATAAATGAGTGCGAGACGGGAACCCATAACTGCCAAGATGATGAAATGTGCTGGAACTATTATGGAGGCTTCCGCTGCTACCCCAGAAACCCCTGCGAGCCACCTTACACCCAAACATCTGAAAAGTCAGTAAACATCACAGGCTCTTTTGATTCTCTCTCATTTGCACAAGAAGTTTCAAAAGGTCTGTCTTAATTTTTGTGTCTGCTTGCAGTCGCTGCATCTGCCGGGCTCAGACTGATTGCCAGGGTCACCCACCATCAATTGTCTACAAATACATGAGCATCCAGGCAGAGCGGACTGTGCCAGCGGAAATATTCCAAATTCAAGCCACAAGCATATATGCCAACACACACAACACTTTCAGGATTAAATCTGGGAATGATGGAGGGGAGTTTTTCCTTCGGGTATGTTGATGGGGAAAAAAACAAAACAAAAACTGGGTAAAATAATTGTTACGATGCCTGTTGGCAAAGGGGACAAACTGGAGAACCCACAGCCTCCCTGATGCTTAGCAGTATCCACATTGATTCTCACCATCAGTTATCATAGTAACTAAAGCTGGTAGAAATTAACTACATTTTTCAATTGCAGTAGAAATCAGGACCCGTTAGACAAGGCAATATGCCTGTCTTCTTTTTTTCTACTTTTAGTGAGTCTGTGAAAACTGTAGCTTCCATTTCCTGTTCTCAGCTGATAGGAGAGGGACTCAGTGTGATCTTAAAAAAGTTAAAAAGCCGACTTTCTTCAAGGTTCGACATGTTGTGCACTCAGAGATACTCTTCTGCTATAAGTGGTTATTTGAGTCACTGTTGCCTTCCTCTCAGCCAGAAATGGTCCGGCTAGGCTATGTGCCTACATGCATTGTGTTTCTGCCATGTGATTGGCTGATTAGATTAAACAACCAGTTAAACAGGTGTACATAATAAAGTGACTGGTGAGTCTATATTACTAATGTAAAACTGTGTCAAAAAAGATACAATTTGCACTCACATGCTAACACACGGATTGATTGTACTTTCTGCAGCGTTCCACCAATGTGAGTGCCATGCTGGTGCTTACCAAGCCATTGACGGGCCCCAGAGAGTACGTCGTGGACCTGGAGATGATCACTCACCATTTGACCATGAACTACCGCTCCAGCTCACTGCTGCGGCTCACCATCATCGTAGGGCCCTACGCTTTCTGAGCGGCTCAGTTCCCAACAGCGCACACAAGTCTGTAAACATGGCAATGTAACACAGCAGATGCCTGTATCAGCATAACATACTTTACATTTTCATATACATTCAGTATATAATATAGGCTGCCTCAGTCTCAAACAGCAGCACAGCAGTTCCAGTTGCTCAAGTCAGACCACCTTCTGCTATAACATGACCACTGGGCATCTTTTTCTATCAAGGTGTTGATTAAGAAAGCACCAATCTTAAAACGTAGTACTTTTTCTTTAGTATTTTGAAAGATTAATCATTTTGACATAGTTTTGGAGTGCTTGAAGAATAAATGCAGTGTCTTCCCCATATCGTGATTGTCTCACCTTCCTGAAAAATCAGGAACAGAGCAGTGGCACTAAGGAAACGAGGCCTATAGGACACACAACCTAAACCTGATGGGTTTTTGATGGAGCTGCACCTTCATATATCCCTTTGTTCAAACTAGAATTGCATACAATAACTAGTGTGTGCCTCATTTGTAAGTAAGAAAGAAAAATCTATAGAAATGTACATGTACACGTATCCAGTATGAGCAGCTTTTGACCTTGTAAATCACATCCTCTGTTCTGTTAATTGTTAGGGGTTAGTACTGCTGCGCCCCGCTATTTGTGCAAGTTTCTGTATAGTTTGCCTCATGAGTAATAATTTCCAGAGGAGTCCAGGAACAGTTCAAAAGTGTAAAGGGAGGGAATTAGCCTGTAAGTTGAGAGAATACTTTAACTTTATGTTACAGCAGGCCTACTCGTACAATTTACTCCCAGGAGTTAAGTCATGTACATACCTAGGTAACAAATCAGTGTGCTGACGTGTGAGAGGGTGTGAGTGTGTGTGTGTATGTTTGTGTGTGCGATTGCCTTTGTTTATGCATGCAAGCAAATGTAAGTGTGAAACGCAGAGGGGATGGAAAGGGAAAGAGTGAGAAAGAGCTTGTTCTCTGCCCCCGGGTTTGGTGGATGTGGTCGAGCTGTTTATGCGTTTCTGTGATACCATCCTAACAGCTTTCGGTCACAGAGGCAATAACAGAGGTTTTTGAACTCGAGAACACGTACAGGAAATGACAGTTTTCATAATACAACTTGGCGAATTGACCACTCGTTGGTGCCACAGTGATCCTCCAGAGGAACAGCTGGACTTTCTAATGTCAGTCCCAGTCAAAGAAGCCAGGCTGGCACCAGGCTGGCTTGCGTGATAAAGATAATTACAGTGTTTTGCCCTGTAGCTGGTTCATGTGCGACACAGGGGGATTATTAAAGTGTTAATACAATGCCACCAGACTTTTGGCAGAATGAGAAATCTTTCACTACCTGCTTTGCCTTTTATGATTCCACGTGTCCACTCTGGCTTATTGCTGAAACACTATAAACTGTAGATATACAGCACTGAAAACCGCATGGACAATCACCATGTTGTCACCACTCTGTAGGTATAGAAAGTTATCCAGCTTTTCCTAAAACCCTTTAATGTGGTTTCAGCAGTGATCATACCGTAGTGCCTTAGAGGTATAAACATGAAAATGTAACAGTAATCTTATCATTTATGCTGTCAAAAGAAAAAACAAGAAAAATGTTAACTTTCTTCCATGAGATGCCTTAATGTTTTTTTTCTTTTCTATTTAAATATATATTTTGTCATATGTACCTTATATTGATTGTACTCTGGAGTTTAAAAGTTATATTGTTGAATAAAATATGATGTATAAATTGGGCCAGGTTGTTCTCGCTTTTTTTGCCCAACAGCACAGAGGAACAGCTTTAAGATGTGTGAAAACTAATCGCAAGAGTCACGCACCAAAGTAAACATTTTCTGACTTCACATATATTGTAATGGAAAAAGCAGCGGCTGGATGAAATGCTCTGCTGCTCCCCTCGTGCTTTAGGGAAAACGTGAGGATGATTTCATCTGAATTTAACAATGATAAATGCAGTGAACATGATGCCATAGCCATCATATCTATCTTATTTAAGGAGATCCAGAGGGGATACGGTAATATGCTGTGTTGAGTAAACGTGTGCTCAGGGACGACTACGAAGCCTGCACACACAAACACACACACATCATATTTAGATGTAAAATTGGTTGGGAGGGGTTTTATGGTAAGTTGTTACTCAATCACGCTGCTGTCTAGAGCTTTAGTCAGAGCAGCAATGGGACATGTAAGATGATACATGATGTGTCATTGTTCCCCAAACCCCATCTTTAGCTCCCCACTCATTGGAGTTGTGTTTTTGCTGTACATGCATGATTCAACCCCCATGAGAAAACATTGCTCACCCACTTTTTCTGTGACTAAACCGGAGCTGAACCTCATCAGAAGAGCAACATATTCAGGTTCTTGTTCTTGATTAATATTCCACTCAGGGTAACAGTGAGGCTAATTAACTTAATCTCCTTGCATATAGCTAGACATTTCATTAATCACTGTTAGATTTATTGAACTGATCAAAGCCAAAGCCACTGGCTGAAGATCACACAAAAGGAAAAAGTCATGAAAGTTCACCAAGTTTGTTATCCTCTGTCATCTCCTCCATACAATATTCCAGTGATGCAATAGCTGCCCCCTCTTTCTTACTGTTTTTTCATAACTTGTTTGCCACACTTTGGTCTCCTTAATACCAATAAGTCAGGGTTTGAATAGTTTTATTTGAGAACTGTTGCTAACCTTATGCATCACTCCATGGCCTTGATTTACTATCCCTTAATGTCTTACTTCCAGCATGATAATGTAAAGCAGAAGCACTCAGTGAGTTCAGTTGTCTTCCCAGCCTCTAAATCCACCAGAAAGCCTCTGAGCACAAATGGACAGCTGACAAAAATGTAGAAATTTTATTTTAGAATATATAATAAATTTATACGGTTGGTTCCATATCATGTGATTTTGTGACATCTGTAACACAATGAACTGAAGGTGTTTTAACAGCAAGAGAGTTTACATTGGCTTCCAAACATGTAGCAACAATAATGTGTTAGCAGCAGTAAGTCCGCTATGTTCATAATACATGTTTTTTTGTTTGTTTGTTTTTTCATCGATGGCACAACAAGCAGAAACGTCCAGCCTTTAAAAGCCACTCATGAACAAAAATAAAAACCCAATGTTATAGACTTTATATAAAAGATGGATACAGCCACATGGTCACTGCCATCTTGATGTTTTTAAATCAGACTAAACTGGACCCATCAGCAGTGTTTTGTGGGTGATGTTGTATAGTAACTAATATAGATATGTGTGGCATAAAGCTAGGGATGTGGCTGTTTTGAATGACAGGTGGGCTGACACCGGCTGCTGAAGTCAGTTTCTGTCAGTCTGCTAGAATTCACCTTTACTGATTCTAGCCACCTACTGGTGTTACTGAGCATAAATTAGCAGACATGTGTTGCATCGGTACAGTTTATGTTTCTGACCATGCTTGCTTTGGTAATTTAGTACCTAAATAAACTCACTTTTGGCTCCAAAAGGAATAAATTAACAAATATTTTTTAAAATGCCAAAACTGGGGCTTCAAAATATGGAGATTTCTTTTATACATACTCTATGGTTACAATACCAAATTTCATCCAAAAAATAATTACAGCGCTATGCGCATTTTTTTTTTTTTAACATTTTAATGAACTGATGTTCATGTTAGTAGGCACTAATAATTATGCATCTATTTCTCAGTGTTGCATTCATACATTCACTTTCTCATTAAAATATAATTCCAAAAAGCAAAGACATCAATGGACAAACTGCTAAAATCAGTGCTTTAGAAAAGGACTTTACTTTGTGTGAATGCCACTTTTTCTATGTCCCTTAAAAGAAAAAGAAAAGAAAGTACAGCTTAGGCTGACTGTATCGTCTCTTGTTTTGCAGGTAGTCTGTTGTTAACAAATATTTCAGTCCAAGTCAATGAAGCCATGGCACTAGTGAGGCCATAAAGAACCAAATACAACTAAACCCCTAACTGCACAAATGGTGTGTGTGAAGCAGCACTACACAAATTTTGGTATTCCCTAGCTTCACAACGGGAAAAAAATGCAGTTGAACCTTAATAATTTATCGCATATTACTGGGAAATCACTCAAAGTCACTCCGTATGGTGCTGTCACTTTATGTTCTCCCCGGCCTGTTTTGGGTGTCAGGGAGAGAGGTAAGAGGTGTTTTGATGGTGAAAGCGAGTGCATGAAGAGGTGAGAAATGAGTAGTTTATTGGATGGCTTTGAGATTGGAAACGCATAATAGGATGAGGTCAGTTGTTAACACTGGCAAAAGGTGCCACGGGAGAGTGGCACAACCACACAAGGGCATTCATATAATATAGACGCATGCCACTCAAGAAACCACTCATCCAACAAGAATGTACACACTCAAACTAATTAGCAGAACCGCCCATCCAATGTGTGCATATCTGTTTATGTAAATTGTGCTGGTGTGGTATGCTGCTTAGTGCCACTGCATGTGGCTGTTGAAAACGTGCCAGGCCATAAACACTCCTTGCCTGGTACCCAACCACAGATGTCGTTTCAATAAGCCTTCAGTCGGGCTGAAAAATAAATCCTGGAGGTCCATACCTGTGTGATTACATTCTCTAATTATAGTTTGGAGCAGTAACTCCGAGATGACTGAATGAAACGGGCCCTCGGGGTGTTGTGAATGTAATTATATCCTGACAATTAATAGGCCCAGTCCTCAGAGAAGAGTTTGTTATATGATGACGCACCTGACCGTTTTTAGCTCGCCAGGGAAGCCTTTGAATTATGACATAATTACAAGGGAAAACATGATATGCAAGGATGATAATTATCCCCAAGTACAGTAACAGTAAATGGCACTACCTTTTAGAATACGAGTTCATAACAGGGGAAAAGTTTAGATTTCTCCTCGGCACAGTGTTTAACATTAGCTGCTGGGCCAAAAGAGGAAATATCTTGGACCTGGAATGCATCATTTGTGGCCACAGATAATTTCATGAAAATGTTTCTTTATCCGGAGGAGTTTTGATATGTTGCTAATGCTCTGAGTATACACGCACACTGGCCAAGCACACATATTTAAATTGCTGGCAGGAGAGAAAAAGCTAAAAAAGCTACCAGGTCATGCATGCAAATAGAAAGATTAAGAGACAAACATTTGAAAAATGACATGCTGCAATAAAATATATGACTTGTTATGTTTTCTGAGAATGTGCGGAGAAACTGAAGACGTTTTCTGGAGAAAGATGTACACTTTGTCATTCCGCAGCCCTTACCACACTGTGGAGAAGGAGTAGCTCCCCTGATGTTTGTTCTGTATAGTACAAATGCTCAAATAAACTCCCTGTTCTCCATCTACACCGGTGTTTTCACTTCCACTGCCTTAACAGACTTCTGCAGACTGTGTGGGCATGTGCAGACTATCCTTGATTGGCACGTCTCTCATTTTCCAGTAAGTGCTGTTGCAATCTTTAGGACAGCACATCATTTTACACCTATCTCTATCACAATAAACAGCACATTAACACCGACTTCATTAGGTATGCCTTGCTAGTACTGGGTTGGTCCCACTTTTTGTCTTTAGAACTACCTTAATTCTTTGTGGTGCTGATTCAACAAAATGCTGGAAACATTCCTCAGAGATTTTGGTCCATACTGACATGATAGCATCACACAGTTGCTGCAGATTTGTAGGCTGCACATCCACATTTAAATACCCTGTTCCACCACATCCCAAAGGTGCTAACACATCAGATGTGCACTAACTTCTGATGACTACCGAGGTCATTTAAGTACAGCAAACACACTGCCATGCTCAAGAAACCAGTTTGAGATGATTTGAGCTTTGTGACATAGCACATTATCATGCTCGAAGCAACCATCAGAAGATGTGATCATAAATGGATGGGCATGATCAGCAAAAATACTCAGGAAGGCTGTGGTGTTTAAATGATACTCTATTGGTACTAAGGAGCCCAAAGTGTTCCTAGAAAATATATATCACACAATTACAACAACGCCAACAGTCTGAACTTTAGACAAAAATGGATCCATGCTTTCATGTTGTTTATGCCTCGATTTCTTGTTCTTAGCAACCAGGAGTGGCACCCAGTTTGGTCTTCTGCTGCTGTGGCTCATCTGCTTACGGTTCAACATGTTGCTTTTCTGCATCACTTTCAGCTTTCCTATCAGCTCAAAACAGTCTGGCCATTTTCCTCTGACCACTGGAATCAACAAGGCACCCAGAAAAATTCTCTTTTTCTGAAACAGTCAGACCAGCAACAACCAAAGTGACTTAAATCACCTTTCTTCCCCCTTTTGATGCTCAGTTTGAACTTAACCAGGTTATCTGTCCATGTCTACGTGGTGAAATGCATGGAGCTGCTGCCATGTGATTGGCTGAATATTAGGTACACCTGTTCAACGTGGAGCAGTTGAACAGGTGTACTTAATAAAGTGGCTAGTGATGTAGACTGGTGACCACATATTATTATTTACACTAACCTGAGCAGTGTAATTATCTAAAGTATAACTGTACAAATGAGCCTGTAAAACAGACCTGCAGGAAAATTTATAGAAAACTGCTCACCATGATTGTGAAAATTCACAACTTTGCATATTTGTCTTGAGCTTGCACTCACTTACACCCAATTTCATCCATCCTACTGTGTTGCTTGACATCTGCCCTGGATTTTCAACTGTTTTCATAATTTCTACTTCCCTGCCAGCCTTCCCAGGGCGTGAACACATGCTTGTGTGACAGCCACAAAGACAGGCAGGTGAGGGTAGGCCAAGGGTGGGCATGAGCTCTTGGTGTGCCAGTCAGTAATACTTTTCCTCAGGTCGAGGTGTACTCACCTGGAGGGTGTGTTACTGCTGGAAATCTCTGTAATGAACAGAAGGATGGATCCCTGCCTGATCAAATTCCACTGCAGCCCCATATCTTTGTTGCCTTCCAAAAATGTTCAGCATACCAGTGGGTTTTATTGACTTGTCAGAGCAGACAGCAGGAGTGCAAGCTCTGCCTTGTAAGGTGTGCAGTTAACAGGTTTTAAAGCAGGAATGTCTGCAGATCACTTTTTTTCATTTGTAATACGTTTGCGTGTTTTAGGTAAACGCAGTGATTAGAGCTACTGTAGAGCACACACTGGGAGAAAAGCAATTTAGAAGATAAAGTTATTATGTAAAGTTTTTACAGGACTCTATGCATTCCTGTGAAAAACTTACACTGCATGATTCAGTAGCTTGTAGAACCACCTTTAGCAAGAGTAACTTGAAGTAAACTGTTTTCTGTATGGCTTTCAAATAGATAAAGAGTGAGCCAAAATTCCTCCACAATGTGGAGGAATTTTGGCTCACTCTTCTTTACAACATTGCTTCAGTTCATTGAGGTTTGCAGGCATTTGTTATGCACAGCTCTTTTAAGCATTTCAGTTGAGCTGAGGACTTCGGGCCACCGCAGCACATTGATTCTAAACATTATCTTGTAGATTTGTTCTTATGCTTGAGATCATTGTCCTGTTGCCTCAGCCAGTTTTGGCCAAGCTGTAGACAGATGGCCTCACACTTAATTCTAGAATACAGAGAAGTTCACAGTCGACTCAGTGACTGCAAGGTGGGCAGGTGCTTTATAACTCATATGCCATTTTCGGTTTTCACCAGCAGTGGCGTTGTGCATTATGGTCAAACATCTCCACTTTAGTCTCGTCTGTCCAAAGGACTTTGTTACAGACATCTTATAGTTTGTTCAGATGCAAATTTGCAAACATAAGCTATGCTGCTATTTTCCTTTTAGAGAGAAGAGGCTTTCTCTTGACAGCTTTTCCAAACAACCCATACTTGTTCAGTATTTGTCGACTTGTTAACATTTAACATGCTAGCCGAGGTCTGTAGAGTCTAAAATGTAGCTCTTGGGTTTTTTGCAGTTGCTTGAATTGTTGCACACGCTGACCTTGAGGAGAATTTCCTGGGATGTCCATTCCTGGTAAGAATGTGGCATTGTGTTTACACACACTTGAATGCTCTGGACCAGCAAACTGCCAAAACTTTTGCTTTTGTGGACACAGTCACACTTGCTGATGATCAATTAATCAAGTGCATTTGGTGAGCAGGATATGACTCCTACTTATTCTCTTAATTCCTATAGAAGCAGTAATATATAACTGTGTCACACATGAAAATCTTGGGGAATAGAACTGCATATACTGAAGGAAAAAAAGTTTAAAACCTCTTGTTGTTGACACAGGACAAGACCTGACACAGGTTGAACCATGTCAAGTCTACCAGTTTCAATAACCTAGATATTTGAAAGGCCTTTAAGTATTTTAAAAAAAAATGCTGTTGATTTTTTTTTACATCACATAGTAGCAGTGCATGAGAGGCACATACTGGGGCGCATGCAAAACTTTATAAAACATCTTCTTTTTTGAAAAGCAGTTCCTGTTATTTCCCACACTTCTGCAGGATGTGTGGCAAACATTTTTACTGACTGGAGAGGCTGCATGGCTTGACTCTCACTGGTGAGACTGAGTCAGGGAAAAGGAGATATGGTAAACTGCCAGTGATGACAGATGCTATTCCACTATCGCTCTTATAATGAGTTTAGCCTCTCTCCCCCTCTTTCTCTGTCTTCCTACTCTTTCCTCTCACCCCCTGTCCTGCAAATACAGTTAGCTGCATGACCATCCGCGATGAATGGCTGTTAACAGCTGCCTCTTTTTTGATAGTTGCCTGTGAGAGCATGTAATTGCATTTGGCCTTGGGTGTACATGCACTCATTAAACCGGTGTCAGTGCCCATTACATTCCTCAGGAGTGCAACTCAGGTAGAATGCAAATCCCAGGCAGGAACGGAGCGTGCTCCCAGGATGTTTCAGCGCAGAGAAGAAAAACACTTTGGAGCTCAGATCAAAAAGAAAACCATGAATTATTATCGGTTTGGGTGTTTTCCTGTTTAAACTCTCCAGGGGAACTGTTCAGTCATTCTGATGAACATAAATACAAATTGAATTCAACACAAATAAAATTCAATAATTGTATCTAAAATAGATCCCAGAATAACCCTGCCAAAAATCTCACTATCAGTAGTAAGAGGATGTGTTCGGCTGAAATAATTGAGCTGGTCCAAGTTGTTAAGGCTCAGAGGGGATAAGATCTGCTATGCTGGGATTGGATCCATGCTGGGATAAGATGCAGAATTCCAAAAATGCCCATCTACATGCCAAGATTCTGTGTTAGACCCATTTGGTTACACTGAACCGCCTTATCTCTTTGCATATTATTTGGATACTGCTAATAAAACACATACATAAATATATTAAAGGCAAAGCATGTTTCAGTGACATTTATCTGAACATTCTAATGTGACCACAGAGGAAGGCGTTTTGAACTGTTATGGAAGTGGCAAACACTAAAACTAACAACCTACAGATTCCTCAAAACCTCCAAAACAGGCTTAATGTTCTCGACGGCTTTTATGTTCTGTATCCATCAGTTATTGTGACACACTGTGTGAGACAAATCATCAATCGTGTAACATCCAGTGAGATGCGATTGTCTGCCTGAATTCCACAATATTACTGCAGAGACAAAGAAGCCACGACATCTCATACAAGAGACTCATTAATGGACTTTAACGCCTGCCGCCCTGCTTATTCCCCAATCACATTATGACATGTTAATGTACTCAGAGGATGAAAGCAAATCAACGAACAACGGCATGGCGTTTGTTTGGGGCTGCACGAAGGAAATATGAAGGATACTGCAGGCGTATAATGACCCCTAGTGGAAGAACTCCGCACGCACATCTGCGTGCGCACTGTCACAACCACACCCCTAAAAAACAAACAAAAAAAAAAAGGTAAAAGCATGAAAAATTCAAAATATGTCTCTAGGAATCTAAAGGTTGTTCATATATTTGCTCTCTGATGACTCAAAAAAAATTAAAATAAAAAATAGCTGTTGCAATTTTAGGATTATGTAGAAGAACAATGACGGGTGCAGTGCTGTAACTCTCCGACAGATGGCAAAGTCTGCCCAGTTCATACCGTGACACGGGCGTTATCCCTAAACTAGGCCTCTCCAACTCATTGTCTTCTTCAAACCCATCATGGAGTAAGCACTAAATTAAAACCCATAGCATAAAATAACAGAAATAAGCCATTTAATTTATATTGTTCCAGCCACATTTGAGCCACTTATTTAGTGAGTCTACCTCAACATCTCTACGATACTGCGTGATAAAATACGTCTGTACAGCCACTGTCAGGCTTTAGGGCATTGTTCAGTAGCAGTGTAGACCTGTTTGGCAGGCAGCACACTCCCTGTAGCTGGATTTGGTCTAAATCTGCCGGTGACTGTTCCAACTGTGCCCTTAACTGCTTTCTGGTGACTTGAATGATGAGCTCTGGAGCAGACAAAGAGAGTGTATGTGCACGAGAGAGAGAGAGAGAGGGCGAGAGATCCCATCATCCTTCCTGGTGGGAGGTTTGAGATGAGCTGCGCAGACCCGTCCGCTACCGACGCATCTTCCTGGCCTGCCCCCCTCTCTCTCTCGCTCTCTCTCTCCCTCCCGCTCGCTCCCTCTCCCAGTCTCTCTCTTTCCTCCTTTTCTGTCTGCCACTAGCCTACCTGAAGGGAAGTGTACAAAGCCGATAAGAAAATCTGGCGTGCCGGCGGGGCCCTGTGTGCGCTATGCTGCGGTAAAAGGGCCGCTATTTGCGGTGTTCACAGGGGATGTAGAGAAGAACAGAGGCGCCGCTCTCCCTCACGGACCGCGCCGTGTCTGCTTTTGCTCTGCCCAGCCCGCCGCATCGCTGAGCGGCCTATGAAGCACACAAGATGTCGACCAGAACGCCATTGCCCACAGTGAACGAGCGTGACACCGAGAACGTAAGTGCAGCTGTCCGGAGACACCTGAGCGATACCGGGCGTGGGGACGGAGTGGTAACGACCCGGGGATGTGGTTATTTTGCGCACTGGCCGGTGCAGGTTAATGGCAGCTCTTCGTGAGGCTACAGTGTTGCAGAGTGACTCGACCAATGAGCACAGCAGCTTTTTTTCACCCCCCCCCCCTTTCTGATGGGAATGAAAGCATGGAGCGTAGAAATAGCTTAGAATAAAAGTGCGGCCCGGCTGTGACTGCCTCGCTCTCTCTACACAACAAGGCTAGCCTGAACAACGCACTGCGTCAGTATTATGCCGCTTTTAATGGCACAAGCGAGGCTTGAATGTTAACACTGAGAATGAGGTGTCTGTGTGGCCTGTGAGAAAATGGTGTTGCTCCACTCGTGCAGCTGGGGGGTATTTTCTAGTCCACGACGTAAATATATAGGGTGTGTGTGTGTGTGTGTGTGTGTGTGTGTGTGTGTGTGTGTGAGAGAGAGGGGGGATGTTGCCCTACTTTTCAATTGCAAGGCTCGGTAGCATCGCAATGTGACATCCATAACCTATCGGGCCCTGCTGTAGGAGCACGCTCGGTGCTGCTGAGGAGGAGGCAGCGTGTTGTTGTTCAGCGAACCAACACGCAGACAACAGGGCGAAGAACGACTTGAATTAATCACAGGAGATTTCTCATGCGCCGTGTGGAGGAATGTTTATGAACGACCACCCACTCCCAATTATGGCGCGCACATCCACAATAATGTAGCTCTTCAGAGATCAGAACAGATGAGGGCTGCTCCTCTGTGTGTGTGTGTCTGTGTGTGTGTCTGTGTGTGAGTGTGCTGACAGGCTGTGACATATCTGGGTTCGTCTGATTTTTTTCTTTCTTTCCTGGAAACAGAAGCCTCCTTTAAGGCTGCAGGCAGTCTTTTTTGTTTTTTTTAATGGTTGACCTATTCATAGACTTACAGAGAGGGCTTTTATTTTGCCTCTATATTTCTGAGCACGTGTTTGCCCGGGTTGTCATGTTGAGGTGGTTAAAATTCAAGTGAGAAAATGCATTTCCTCTTCAGCAAAGTTGCATAACTTAACAAACCCTATTGTTAACTTTTACATGAAGACATCGGTCCTCTCTCGCTCTCATTGTCCGATACATTACTGAACAATGATCTGCCAGTGTTCAGTAATGCATCAGCTCATAGGAGTGCTAATGTAACTGTCTGTCTAATGCTGCACTCTCAGACACAGACACAGACTTCTGGGTGGCTATTAAAGCACTGCCTCAGCATCACTGGCAGTAGCCAGCCAGCCCAGGCTCCCTCTGTTCGACTCCAGCACGCAGCCCCAGGGCCCACTTGCAGCTGAACTGCATTGCATAACAGCTTATTACTCAGAAAGACAAGTGGCTTTAAGTGCAGCAAAACAGAAGTAGCTCACTTCTAGCTTTCTTCTTCATCTTCTTTTATTAATGTGTGTGTATGTGCACAGGTGTGTTATGCCTCATGTTTGCCCCCCTGAAGACATCATCTCAGTGTCTGGGATCAATGGATGGACAAGTGAAACAAATTTTGTGCATTAATCAATCACAAGAGCCCAGAGTCATTTGCCTGTCCAAATATTCCACTGCTGATTTAGAGAACCTAAGCCAAGTGTGTGTGTGTGTGTGTACACAGTTGTGTGACTGAAGGTCAAACTGGCCTCATTACAGGTGCGATCTAAAATTGACTTGAAAGGCACTAGTGTGGCATTTACCCGCTGCAAAAACAACACATGCACATTTCTCTGATCTAAAAGAGGCATTACAAACAAAACCATCTGACTTTGTCGGGATTTAATATAAATTTATGCTGTGAAATGTACACATGCATCATAGCACTCCCTCAGTGAGGCTAGCTGAGGTGTTGTGCACACAGCAGGGTGTAGCGTTTCCCCAGTGAAATGGGAGCAGGGGAGCCCGGGTAACCAGACCAAGGCTTTATTCTCTGGCTGGGTGTGGTGCTCAGGAGCAGAGGATCATGGGATCTCTGACCTGGACTGACATTAGCAGCTGTTGTAGAGGAGAGGACCAGAGGAGACTGCATATAGCCTGTGCCAGCATAGTACTTATAGCAAGCTGTTCCTAATTCACCTTCACATGCTGTATCACAGAGACGCTTGTTATTGGTTTTGACTGTGGAACCAGCAACATTGTTATCACAAAATGTGCCTGTGTGTTACACTTTTTTTGCTGGTTTTGTCAAAGACACACAGTCTGAAGTTCAGTTTCTTCTGATATTGACTCTTACACTGTGAATGATAGGGTCATTAGGTTAAGGCGTTAAAGCTCCGAGATTTTGATTCTCCCCCAAATACTTCTGTATAGATCCTCATTGTGAAACCAACTCTGGAATTGGGGCAAAGCTACTCTTTCAAAGTTCAGCTTTAACAGTACTGCATTGCTTCTGTATGTTTTGCCTGTGTAGCAAAATGATCAGTTTGGAAATGTGCCACGAAACTACTTAAATAATATTGGTGTCTGTGTAAATCAAAGGATGTTGCTGATCTCCACTTTTTTTCCCTGCAGCACTCTTCGGTGGACGGCTTTGTTGAACCCCAAGCCCCCCCAACAAAGTCCGCGAGTCGTCACAGCCTGCCACGATGCCGCAACTCTTTCACCTCCACAGAGGAGCACCCTCACATTGGCAATTACCGCCTCCTCAAAACCATTGGGAAGGGGAATTTTGCCAAAGTGAAGCTGGCACGACATGTCCTGACTGGACGAGAGGTGCGACAAATTTTTAATCTTTGCTTTATAACGTTTATACTGTGCGTTTTATTTGTGTTATATAATATAGTGATGCACTGATCCAATATTTATATGGGATATTGATCAGCAGCAGTGCATTATTTGCTAAAAGGACAGCTAACAGCAAAGGATCAGCAGTTTAAGGTATTTTAAATCTGCCACACAAACAACTTCTCTGTTTTAAGTAGTTTGTGACTAAGCTGTGCTCACTAAGTTGACTGAAAAGCTCAGTCGGTGATTCTTTCTCTGCAAGACTCTGTGCAGTAGGTTTGTAGTTCATGAGTTGTCATCGACTCAGATTTTTGTTATCATGACTTCCACCTGCCTTTTTTCTTTTTTGTTGCGGTGCATGAACGGTAAAGGTGAGAACGGAAAAAGGACAAACTACCACAACAATAAACAGATGCTAAGTTGGAATAAAATGAGTAATAATATTATTAGTTATTTAACACAAATTGCTACTGCTGGGTCATTTGAGCTGCAGTCTAATCAGGGACACTCAGACTTCCCTCTCTCAGGCCACCTCCTCCAGCTGCTCTGGGGGGACACCAAGGTGTTCCCAAGTCAGCCAAAATGTGTAATCTCTCCAGCATGTCCTGACTCTGCACCAGGGAATCCTCCCAGTAGGATTTGCCCATCCTGGTCAGAAGCCTGAAGCTTCAACCCGCTGCTTTTTTCTCAGAGCAACTGTACTTTGAGTTCCTTCCAAATGACCGAGCTCCTCACCCTGTCTCTAAGGTGAGCCCAGCCACCCTTCATGGAGGAGGCCCATTTCACTTCTATTCACAGTCTCATTTGTTCCATCACCACCCAGAGCTTGTTCCCACAGGTGAAGGCAGGAACGTAGATCAACGGCTCCACTTTCACAGTCAGCTCTCTCTTCAACATGACACACCAGTATAGCGTGCACATCCAAGTGGGCACAGTACCAACACCTGTTAATCTCCCGCTCTGCTCACCCTTATTATTGAACAAGACCCCCCCAAGATACTTAAAATCCTCCACTTTTGGCCAGCAACTCATTCCCAATCTAGAGTGGGCACCCTTTTCTGACTGTGACTCATGGTCTTACACTTGAACTATAACTTGGAACCCAGGGCAAGCTGGAGGTCGTTGTATGACGAACCCAACCTATCTGCAAAATGCAGAAACATGATCTAGAAGCCACCAAACTCGACCCCCTCTAACACTTTTAAAGTTTGTGCATAAAAAATGTTGAACAAAATCAAAAGTTAGGATTAAGGAGTCAGCGTTAGCTCCTGGCACAAACTGTTTGTGCTGATATTAATGTCACAGGGGGTTTGAAGCTCTGCAGTCACCGAGTCAGCAAATCTTTGGTAACTTTTACACACCATGTGCATCAGCACTCGGCAACCACGCTCTGTAACTTTAAATGAGCGGTTCCTCAACCCCTTGCAATAGTACCACTCTGAGTTAAATGTTGAATATCTTGGAGGTAAGAAGGTTCATGAACTGACTTGTTCCAACAGTGGTATCCTATTACAATATTACGATCAAATTCAGTGAGCTCTTTGGAACAACCCATTCTTTCATAAATGCTTGTAAAGGCACCTGCGGCGATGGGAAAACACCTGAATTCAAAGATTAAGAAACTCTGTGGCCCTCTGTGGCCGACTCTTTCATTGCTCCATGTTAACAATTAAGACTGCAGTTTTCTTTCATTGTTGGTTGATTTAAGTTCAGATCCCTATTTAGGAGTGTTCTTGTTTTATTCGACCTATTTAAAACATGAATATATTTAATTCACCCTCACAGGAAACCAACAAAGCCATACTGTACTAAATACTCTGAGTGACCTTTTCATTTATAGTTTCAGTTCTGGTAACAATGCAAGAAGGCTCACTTAAAAGAAAAATATTTCAGCTTCACGGCTGAATTCTTTGCATCTTTTTCAAGTTATGCCTCGCCGCATAGAAACCACAACGTGACAGAATAATGGTATCGCTATTTATTTATCAACTCAAAATGATTATACATGAATTAGTTGATAAGGCATTGATCTACTTGCAGTCAGACCCAGTTTTCGGCCGTGTTCTGGCTGTCAGATGAACAAATTATCTCCTGTCATGACAATGTTGTACTTGACCATGTTAGCTTTCCCAGTGAGGACAACCTCTCGCTCCCTTTCACCCACTCACAGTCATACACTGCTGCCTTGTCAGAGTGATAGATGCCCTGCTTTGATGTGTTGTAATTAAAGCTCCTGTTTCTCTAAGGAGAAAACGATGACCTGCGATCTGCTCACTGTCTTTCACTCAGTAGGACCCGCAGGGCTCACTGACAGCCCCGATCCACCTCAGAGGTCCTTCTCATGTCTGTCTTAGCCACTTGCATCTTTTAATCCTCTGAGTTTTAAAAAGCATCAGGTCATATCGGTATTGAGTGCCCAGGGAATAAATATTCTCTCAGGTCTAACCGGTAACAGTTTGATCTGTTCTGTGTCCTTTAATGCAAGTGTAAAACAGACACATTGAGTGTGCTACCCACTGTTTGCCGAGAAGGTCAGGCGCCACTTTGTGTGCCTGAGAGCCTTTGCTGGCTCATCAGAATGCAAAGACATGGATCAGAGTAAGGGAGAAAACAGGTGGAAAGAACATGACCCACTAAAACGAATGTTATCGTCGCAGGAACCTAGAAAGACGCTTACTGACATAGATTTTCCAGATGTGATAAACAGAGGTTTAACTGTGTAGAAAAACAACAAAAGGTCCTGTGAACCAAAAAGGAGGTTGCACAGACTCACTTCCACGTGACAGAGTGTCCTCTGTCTGCCCAAACGAACACGCACGTCAATTCACACGCATGCTGAGCTATACTAATGGTAACATTTGCCTCTACCATACGCCCCTATGAACTTACTCAGCGGACAACATTATTTGTAAACTTAACTGAAATTAAGACTTAGTCCTATAATGTCATGACTTTTCTATATCAGGGGTATTTAATTAAAATTTAAGGAGGTCCAGTTAAAACTCCCTCAAACAAACATTACAGTCCAGTACGTTTTATTTTTAAGTAGCTTAAAAACGTTCAACATTATTTCAACAATGTTTATTATTCTTTTTTTTTAATGAACTGCAGTCTAATAATATAATAATGACAGAATGTCATTTTCTCGTTTCAAGTAAAATAACTTTTGAATTCAAATGTCTTTAAATAAAGTGCTCAATTTAAAAATGTTAAAAAGTGTAGTTTGACTTTCTTCTTTGCTTCGTTTTCTTTAACCACATTTTACGTGTAAACCCATCTCAGCTTTAACCCTCCGTTTCTTTCTGTGTGTTTCCTGTGTGCATACATTGACCATCACAAAGGAAAAGACCGCACAGATGAAAAATACCTTTACTGTAAATACGAGAGAGTAAAATAGAAACTGTCCATCAAAATCCACAGTCCACCTATTGGTGACCTAGGATCGATATAATTTATTATTAGTGTGGTTTTATCATACATATAGTGGCAATATTGGGGGAAACCAATCAGATATAGATTGTACATAAAATATACTTGCAGCCAGTATTGAACTTTTTTTGTCCAAGTTTGAAGCCTTGGGTTTGTCGCTTTCTCTGTTGCAGTCTTTGAAAACTGGATGAGAGAGCAGAACTCGTTAGCGAATGTTAGCATTAGCTAGCTTGGTTAACTCATTCTGATAATTGTATTGCACACTCACAAGGTAGACATGCCTATTTCACAGTAAACAGGACAGTAAGTTACAAAATGACCAAATTTTTCTGCAATGAAGAAGATTTGAAACTATCTGTTGAGGCTATAAACTGCTTGCCTGAGGCAAAAACTTAAGTGAGAAGCAGAATTGTTTTCTCAGACTCTTGTATACCATAGATGACTTTTTCTACCACGAAGAGTCACCATCTGGCCATTAGGACTGCTTCACAGACCTGGAGGCTACATCCATCAAGTTTACATATGAGCATGAATGTCATGGTAATTTAATGCTTTTAAGGCATTAGGTTTAGAGTAAATGGTCACTTTCCATTAATTCTGAATTATGTTTACAAATAGTTTTAACGTAAATAACAAATCAATCAAATTATCGGTTGATCTGTTTATCTTTTTCAGTCTATGTTGCAGCTTTCTTGCTGACACATGGAAGGAATTTGACCCTTGTTCTTAGAAGCTCTCAATATCCTCTTAGTCTCCGCAGAGAGCAAATTTACTTGGAGAGCTAAATATAGAAACGAGGAAAACAAAGCACTGAAAATATGGACATACTCATTAGCACTTATATGGCAAGTATGGTATAAACTGTGCTTCTTGTTTTAGAGTGCATAGAAGTGTGTAGAAGCAAATATGCATACAACATTCAGAGCACTTATTTGCATAGATGTGACGTGAAAAAAAACTTTTGTTGTCGTACATTACATACATCAGCCCTGCTCCCTATATTACAGTCATGCCTTTCTTTTCATCGCATATGACCTTATACGATGCTAAAATACTTCCCTTTAGCACACAGATATCATGATTCTGTGGTTTTGATAACAGAGCCTAAAGGGAAATCAGAGTGTAGAGGAAATGCGCAAAGCACTCGAGCACACGAGCGATGCAAAGTTTCCCCTTTGTGTCCTCGCTGTCTAAATATTCACACACGATCACAAGTCCTGCATACTGTGAAGAGCATATGGCCCCTGTGTTACGACTGGGCTGAATAATTAACACTGATGCACAGTGCCCTTCTGTCACTGTGAAACTGAATTATTTACCCTCAAATCCATTAGCGTGAACACACACGCACCCACATGCACACAGAGGCCTTGTGTATGATTTTTGTGCCGTCCACTCATTCATCAAATCTCTGTCTGCTAACAAAAATGAAAATATTTGCCCGGCATCGTGTCGAGGAAATTAAATGAATCTCACTGACTCATGCAAAGGGAATAGTGGAAGTTGATGCAGCAGAGTGACACATGAGGACCGTTCCAACACCTGTAGGCGTACTGTACATCAACAGACACGCAAATACGTGCCTAAACCTGAGCTTCGTCCGTGACAGGAGGAAGCAGAGAGGAAGGGAGTCTGTCTGTGCACCTGCCCACCTAAGAAGGGCTACAAATAGACACCACCTGCATACTGTGTTTTTCTACACATAGTAGGCCTTTCTGCAGTCTTTCACTTTGCTCCATCCTCTCCCTGTTAGACTGTTTCTTGGTGTTATTATCAAGTTTGGCTTCTGGGGTTGTATCAAATTAAATTACAAAACAATTTGTGCCATAGTTCTTAGGGAAAGTGGTTTTAGATGAATAACCTGTATTCTCATCACCATGACTCAGCATCTGCTTGCTGGTTTCCCCCCTTACCAGGCTTACCAACAGCCTGCATCCACTGAAGCATGCTTATTAAGCTCTTATAAGGCCAGAGGCACAGTAATGCTTTAGAAAAAATGTATGTTTTTGTGATATTATTCATCTTTAATGTTATCAGTGTGTCTTCTACAGAGGTTACAATCTTTGTGCTAGAATGTAATTCAGCAGATGAACATAGATGATGACAAAATCTCTTCAAGATCCGCTCCTATGATACTTCTAATGTTAGACATGGTTATGATTGGAGATCATGGTTAAGGCACAGCTCCCTGGGGGTAGAGTGTGGGGGGGGACACATCCTACAATAATGTTGTATAAATCACTTTAGATTTGAGATGAGTCGTGCAACTCCTATACCCAACAAAATTTTAAAACCTAGGGCTTTGTCACTGTGTGATACATTCACTATATTTCCAGAAGTTATTCACTTCCATAGCCACAGGTGAATAAAATCGCCTGTCTCATGTTTGCAGGCTGCTTCTGCAAACATTTGTGAAAGAATGAATTGCTCTCAGGAGCTCAGTAAATTCCAGCATGGTACCGTGATACGATGCCACCTGTGGAAGAAGTCCAGCCATGAGATGACCTTGCTATTAAAGATAAAGTAGTTTAAGAACTGCACATGGAGATTTTTGTATGAAGAGTTTCAATGGTCCAGCAGCTGCAGCCAAGCTTTCCATCAGAATGCAAAGTTTTGGTGTGGTGTAAAGCATGCCATCACTGGACTCTAGAGCATTGGAAACCTTTTCTCTAGAGTGACAAATCATGCTTGTTCATATGACAATCAAATGGATGAGTTTGTGTTTGGGGGTTCCCAGGAGAATGGTACTGTTCTGACTGCGTTGTGCCAAGTGTAAAGTTTTGGTGGAGATGGAATTATGATGTGGGGTTGTTTCTCGTCCAACATCAGTGTTTGATCTCACAAATGCACTTCTGGAAGAATGATCAAATATTCCCAGAAACACTCCTAAACCTTGTGGAAAATCTTCCCAGAAGAGTTGAAGTTTTTATTGCTGCTAAGGGTGGGCTGACATCACATTAAACCCTATAAGAATGGCAGACGAGCAAATACGTTTATGCATCTTTAAATTCTCCTGTGTAAATCCAAGATGCAGATTTTTTTGGTTAAGTCCAAACTGCAGCCATGGACAGCATTCACAGTTATAGCTGGACTCATGCTCTGTCCCCATACGTGTGATATGCTAACTTTGTGCAATGTAATAAAAAGTACGTACATTTACATGCGCCATTTGGTGCAATAAAGTTGGGCAAACAACACAGCGTTCTGTAACCTACTGGTTTATTCGATCAGGAAAGTGGAACTTTGACAGACTAAGTTAATTTTTAACTGCACAGATGTTAATTCGATATTTTTCTGTTTGCTTTATTAATGCATTTTATGAATATATTATCTTAGCACCAAAGCCAACAGCAGCTTCTCCTTTCTAGTTCTGAATTGAGACAACAGCATCCATTCAGTACAAAGTACAGTGCAAAAAGAAGGAACAAACGCATGTTTAAGAGCTTTGATACTGTCAGTTGGTTGAAGAGTCTCAAGAGACATATGGAGGCTGTAAAACGCGTGAAGGATTTCAAATATCAAGTCAGCAAACAGCTACTAGTTTGATCCTTAGACCCCTTTGCTCTCTGTAGTCAGGCTAAGAAAAGATTTTATGGTAATTACCTGTGGTTAGGCTATAAAAACTGTCATTCTAATTTATTTACGCATATAAAAAAGCTTAGCATAGCACTTTTTTTCACACATGCAGCTGTGAACTTTTCTAGACTTGTGTGTGAGCAATCAGCTCAGACATTAAATGGTGTTTAACCTGAGAATTTAGTAGTACAGGATGACTTTATGTGTGCTACATGGGAGCTAAGGGGTGGGGGGCAACATATCAGTGTATGAAAAACTAGAACTTCTCAAGATAATATAGTGGCTCGCTTTTGACTCTGCAGTATGGCACAGATAGTCAGTGAAAGCTGCTGAGCTCTCAAAGTGAGGAGACTACGTCCGTTTCCTCAAGCACTTTGGGGTGATTATTGAGATGGATGCAAATGACTGCTGACATGGTTGCCAATTGAGAATATTTACCCAAACTTTTCTTGCTCCCTGCTTTAAGTTGCCTTTCTCAGTGTGTAAAGGCTCTTAATTCACCGTATAGTCATAGTCAAGAGGGAATTTGTATTTCTGCTTTGATCTCTGCAAATCAATGCTTCACGTCTTAATGAATTACTGAATAGAGAAGCTTTTAGGTGTGTTCAGGCTGAATGGATGATTCAGCTGTGACATGTTTTGACAAAGCCACCTCACCGCACAATAGTGAAATAATAAGAATTCATTTCAATGCAAGTTTTAACTGCACAAATACAAAACTGGAATTAGCTTTGACATCTTGGTTATCTTTTATGTTTTCCTGTCTGCATCCCGCTCTCTCTCCCCCTTCCCTCTCTTTCTTTTACTTCCCCTGTCTTCCTGTCTTTTCTCTCTCTAGGTGGCGGTGAAGATAATAGACAAAACCCAGCTGAATCCAACCAGCCTACAGAAGGTGAGTTTATGTTTTATGACCACATGGTAACATTGATGTCTTGGTTACAGTGTTCGTGGGCTTTTCCGATAGTCTTTCCCGAGTTCTCCCCACTCTGTTCTTTGCTCTTTGAACTCAGGATGTGCTATTTTACATAATGTAATCAGATGTACTCAGGAGAGACCACAGGGCTTGTTTAATCTCCAGCCACAACCTCCTTCACGCCTGACTCTGTTGTTTGTGGTTACGGGCAGCTAAAAATACACTTGCTGGCCGGTTTGTCACTTCCCTTGTCTAGCAGTCATAACCAATTAGAAAAAAGGCTGTGGGACTGTTTCCTGATTACTGACTCCCATTAAACACACGTGGTTATCTTTGTGCTCTTTGTCCATATTGCATTATTAGCTCTCAAACCAGGCTAATCCAGGTTAATCTTCAAATAGGTCTTTGAATATATGTGAAAAGGGAAGGAGTGCTCAAAAGCTCCTCACTTTCCCTAAATTTCGTCACTCCAATGGTTTTAAACTTAAGCTAGTCCTCACAAAGAAAGCTATCCAAGTAAATGCACAGACCAGTACACATACAGTCATCATCGCAGATTAGAACATGTGGAAGGAAAGCAAGAGCTGCCAACATCACCTACTGCGAGTCTAAAAATAAATCAGGTGTGCAGCTGACTGACAGGAATTCTTTTCATGATCATGACATTATCGTAGCACGGCTCACCAGCACCGCTGCTCTTTTACTTTCCGGTTTTTGTAAAAGATGAAAAAATTGCCTAGCAACTGACTGACTCATTTTGATAATGGACAATTATAACAACCACACCTACATAAATGACACTTGATGGTGTCTTTGTAGGCCACCAGGGTGGGAAAATGTTGCCCCCTACAAGCTTCTTAATGACAAAATAATTGCGATTAGCTTCTAAATAGTGCTTCCACCTTATGTTGGTCTGAATGGAGATGAGATGAGTGAACTCGGTGAGTCAGTGAAGGCTGGCCTAATCAAGCAGAGTGTAATCATAAAGGGCTATTGTGAGACCAAATCTGGTTCACTGCCGAAGTCCTTCTTTGGCATCTGTAAAACACGGTGGTTTTTCGCCTATCAGGGCATTTCTAACACGATTATATTCCTGCAATTGTCTTGGATCTTAATGGGATCCGACGGCAATTCTTTAGCCAATCAGTGTGTAGTTGCTGTGAGAGTTTCAAGCTCTCAGTTCCACGCTCATCTAATCTGACCGAGATAATTCTCGTTGTTTGAGCTCTTTTGTGTCGCAGCCTATTGTGTGGTTTCTAATCTGTGCACAAAGTGAGAGTAATGAACATTTTGTTTTGTGCGTATGTGGTGGATTAATATTCTGCATAGAAACTGACTGGGACACTGCCAGATTGGGTCATGAGGAGTTTCATACCGGATGGGTTGGGTTGTCCGCTGTGTAGTGTTGAATGTAGCAGGACAGATGTATCACGTGACCGTGCAGCCCAGTTGATCAATTATTCAGTGGGCTTTCATATGTGAGCTGCAGCACTTATACAGCTTTTTTTAATATATAGGGGATAAAGTGTTTTTAATATTACATCATACAGTACATTGGCGTTTGCATTCACATTAGCAGATGATGTCAAATGTTCTGTATTTGTATCAACTGTAGAGTCTTGTTTTGTATCCTTATTCGGAGCATATACACAGTTATATATTTTCACGCCCTCTGCTCCATACTATAGATTCCCGTAATAGTATACAGATATGCCATCTGCAATGCAGAAGCTCGTCTTGTAATGCAGCAGCCATCTCCTGGACTGAATCGATCGTCTCATTGACCCAGAGTGTCCTATGCTACCCTTGTAAAAGCTCCATCACGAATACATTAAAGGGAACATGTGCTTTTTATATACAGTTTTCTGCTTGGGCACTCTTTCGACCTTGGACTGATCAAATAATGCCTTGGAAAAACCAAAGAGAAGCAACATTGCAGTCATTTGCTCTGTTTCCTGTTTTTTTGGAGGTTTGTATTGCTGCTGATTATCAATTGAAAGGTTGGAAAAATAATAACAAGTGGGCATCAAGAGTGCAAAAATGAGAAATCACCACTGTGCTATAATATGTAGTGTGGATAATTTAATCTCGCATTTTATCAGAGCTTTTCATAGATCTAATTGTATTTTCAGCCATGGTTTTTGCTTTTAACGATGATGAAAACAAGATTATGGAGATTCTTTTTTTCTATGATGCGTTTGTATTGTGTCGTCTAATAAATCTAGCATTTCCCTTTATGTTTCTGTGCTATTCTCCATTAAAATCCCCCAAGTCACACCCTGGCAGGCTGACGCATTTTCAGTTAGGTTCACATTTGTTCGTTTATTTATTTTTCAGTCCAGTTATAATTAAAATTCAAGAAAACACAGTTAAGGTTTTTTTTAAAAAAAGAACCAAAAAAGAAAACCTGTACAATATTTAAGATTAAAATAAAACAAAACAAACCATGATCTTACCAAAGTCAGTCATGATAATTTGATTTTTCATTCACTCTTAAATGTTTCCTGGGTGTACAAAATATTCATCCTGGTCACTTTGTTGGGTACACGTTACTAGCGCTTGGCTGGACCCTCTTTTGTCTTCAGAACCATTAATTCTGCTGCTGGAAACATTCCTCAGAGATTTTAGTCTGTATTGACACGATAGCACACATCCAGGATCCATGAATCTCCTGTTCCACCACATCCCAAAGGTGCTCTATTGGATTGAGATCTGGTGACTGTGGAGACCTTTTGAGTACAGTGAACTCACGGTCATGTTCAAGAAATCTGAGCTTTGTGACATGGTGCGTTATCCCACTGGAAACGACCATCAGACCATGGCTACACTGTGGTCATAAAGGGATTGACATTGTCAGCAACAATACTCAGCTATGCTGTGGTGTTTAAATGATGCTCATTTGGTATTAAAGACCCCAAAGTGTGCCAACGAAATATCCCCCACACCATTACACCACCACTGATATGTGACATTTGTTCATGCTAAATTTGAACTCTAGGTTCTGAACACTGCAGCAGATATCGAGATTCATCAGACCAGGAAACATTTTTCCAATCTTCTAATGTCCGATTTTGGTGAGCCTGTATAAATTGTACCCTCAGGTTCCTGCTCTTAGCTGACAGGAGTGGAACCTGCTGTGGTCTTCTGCTGTAGCCAGTTCCTTCAAGGTCTGACATGTGCATTCAGAGATGCTCTTCTGCACAACTTGGTTGTAACGAGTGATTATTTGAATTACTGTTACATTCAGCTCAAGACAGAATGTCGCTTTTCGCCTGTCTTCTGGCCATTTAAAGTCATTTAAATCACCTTTCTTCTTCATTCTTATACTGGGTTTGAATGTCCTAAATGCTCAGAGTTGCTGCCATTTGATTTAATGATGTCATATTTGCATTAGCGAGCAATGGAATTTGTGTCTACCTAATAAAGTGAGTATATTAAAATAAGCGATTTTGTTGGAGGCACTCTTCAAATTACAAGTCTAGACCTAATTTCACTGTAATGCTTGAGGCTGTTTGGGCTGCTCTATGACCCTTCACCAATGAGTAGATGCAAAATTTAAGCAGCTATACACAAATTCCCCCCTTTCGACATCGGTATCATAGTAGTTTTTGTATTTTTACTACACAGCTGTCTGGACAGCAAATTGATTATCGTGTGATGTAGATTTTCAAATTCAAATTTTTTTTATTTGTCACGTACACAGTCATACACAGTACGATATGTAGTGAAATGCTTGGATTCATGGATAAAATGCTGGTCTGCATAGCTAAGTAAACTATATCTGGAGGAAACACTAAATACGTGGATCGAGAAGGATTGTCCAGTGCATTTAAAAAAAAACAACAAAAACAAAACAAACTAATCTGGACTTGATTAGACCTTTTGTACGCAGGGCAAACATGGAGAACATTTGAGCCATTCATGCTGACTCTGTTTCAGTGTGGGTGACTGAGGTTTGAGATGCCTGATTGGGCCACATTATTCCTACACTCCCTGCCACTCTTTCATGTTAGCCTGTCAAAATGCCACTAATATTTCTTTTTATGGTCTCAGAGGAGCCAGGCTGTGGGCTCACCATCTGGCACTGTAGGCACAACCATCACCCTGTCAGATCTTTTACTACCACACGCATGCACATACACGCAAACCTGTATGACACACAGAGACATAAGCAGAAGATATTTGGTTTATGCAGAAGGCTCTAGCTGGCAGAATCTCTGGGGATTTTTTTGTCATTTTTGGCAACATTATGCACACATTTATGCATTAGTGTAGCTAGCATCCTCTCTGATTAGAATTAACTTTATTTCACATCAAACAGCACTTTAACACTTATTTTCTTAAGCATATCTGTGTGAGCCCACAGTGTCCCGATCACTTGATTTTAAAGAGGGGTTAGCAGAGGCCAAAATGAGTCATGAGGTTACAGCGAACCTCCCCTCTTTTTCTTTATGGCCCATTGGCCCTGATGTGACTTTGAGGTGGTTTCAGCCCCAACAGGAAATGAGGTCAGCTTAGCATCCAAAGCACCTCCTGAGATTCGCCACAGGAAATGCATCACATGTCATCTGTGGTCATGGTTGTTGACGTTGTCATGGTTTTAGGCATTTTAGCCCTAAAATAGGCCTCTCCGCTAATCCCCTCCGAGCAAACGCTGCGCTCATCCCATCATCCCAGCGCTTTCTCTTTGTAATCTGTAAATAAGAGTTGTTTTCTTTTTCATCGCTTAAAAGACGCCAGTAAAATATGGAAGGTTGCATGATTGGCATGTGGTTCTCTTCTGTTACACATGACATATAAAAGACTGAAGAGCATGAAGAGGGTAAATTAAACCCCAGAAACACTGGCAGCTTCTCTAGTTATTATTTTTAACATGGCTCAAAGCTGCAGTACCAACCTTTACCCTCACTCTTATATCCGAGTGTGACTGTGTGAGAAACTGCTCCGAACAATACACGGCGACTCTGTTTGTGTATTCT